GGGACCAGGGCTGAAGCATTCGCCCTGAGCGTCTTCCACAAGAACCTCTAGCGGTCGCCACTTGAATTTGGGGTTCAAGGATGGTAAGAATTGCCCTGTAACAGACTCCGCATTGAGTCTTTCCCTTTATGAAACAACTCTGGCGAAGCGGCAGCGACGCTGGGCACAAAGCTTCCATACCGTACACAGCTCCACGCGGCTCCGGTCGTAGCCGGCAGGCGACTCCGTACTAAGGGCGATAGCGCCGCCTAGTGACACTCCTAGTTAATAGCTCTTCAATTGCAACTGTTCCGAAAAAGACCCGGTCCAGCGCAGACAGCGATGAGCAATCTGTGATTCTCACCATTTTCCCACCCAAGAAACCATTTTTTAACATTGCATGTGTATGTGGTACACGTGCACGCCCTCACTCGGATCCCCCAGATGATGCTTTCACCGGGCCTTTGCACGGCCTATCGTTCAGCACCGCACCCTTCGTTTCTGTCTTTTCAGTACTGGGGTTGGGACCAGGGCCTCTTGTATGCTAGGCAAGGGCTTCACCAGGGAGGACAGCTGCAGCTTTTAAAGGCACTGGCTAAATTGCCTGCACTGGCCTCAAATTTTGATCCTCCTGTCTCAGCCTCCCAAGAAGTGTCAGATCAATCTGAGCCAGCTGGGTAACCTGAAACCCAGTATATTCCTACCCATAAAATGATACCAATGCCTGCCTCACTTCTACAGCTTCAATGAAGGCTTTTGAAACTGCTTGACCAGGGTAAAAACTAGGGGTGTCATTTCCAGCCATGATTTTCTGGGGACAGATTCTGGAGTCAGGTGACTCAGCTGGATTTTGGCCCTGAGGCTTACTAGTAAGTACTAGTTAGCAACCTGGGGATGTCACTTCCCTGCCACCTGGCGCCTCATCTGTGGGAAGACTGTGTGGTCCTTCTCCTCAGCGATGACAGTCACAGGACCGGAGATCTGTTAATCATTAGAGAGAAAGGTCCTGTGGCGGATCCACGCCCACATTGGGGGTAATACACACTGCACACCAGAGGAGCAAGACCCTGGACCCCGGATCCCTCGGTGTCCTTTGTGGAATACACACGAAACCACACGGGGTGGGGGGTGAGTGGAATACACACGAAACCACACGGGGTGGGGGGTGAGGGCGCTGAGCATTCAAGAAACAATGTTTTCTTTCTTTCTTTAACTTTTAAAATGGAAACTTTTTTTTTTTTTGTTTTGTTTTTTAGGTTTTCTATTTAATGTTAGCAGTTGGTTTCTGTTGGTTGTTGTTGTTTTTGTTTGTTTTGGTACTGGGTATCGAACTCCGGACCTTGTGCTTGCAAGGCAAGCGGCAGAACCACTGAGCTAAATCCCCAGCCCTTCCTATTTTTAATCTGGAACACCCTTCCAACCCAGCTATAAACAAGGCAGTGTTGGCCAGGCACAGTGGTGCGTGCCTGTAATCTCAGCACTCTGGGAAACTGAGGCAGGAGGATCACAAGTTCAAGGCCAGCCGAGGTAACTTGAGAAGACCCTGCCTCAAAATGAAGAGTAAAGGGTGGGGATGCAGCTCAGTGCAAAGGCCCTGGCCTCAATCCCCAGTAACACACACTCACTCCTACCCTAACGGAGCCCCACCTTAGTAGGTGAATAGAGACTTGTCTGCTGTAGCAAGCTGTAAAGAGGCTGAACTAAATGCCGCACACATACTGACCTTAAGGTGAGTAGAGCTGAAGTTCTTCTGAAGGACACCGTACAGAAGAAAAATCCTTTCACCCAGAAATCCGTGCTCCGAAGCCGGAACCCTGAAAAGACTGTCCCCCACCACGACTACCATTTATGGTCTAGCTTGCCGTTATATTCCATTTGAGTCAGCATCGTCTTTATTTCAAAATAGCATTTTATTATATAAAAATGTAAAAATCCAGCAAAACCAGAAATACGGATGTATTTTCCTGGGCTTTCACATTTGTCGATTTTTATTTGCAATCTCTTTTTCAGTACAATTTACAACTTCGCTCCATTTCCAGTCTGATTACACAACTGCTACGTGGTGGGAGGAAGGTCTGGAATAAATACATCAGAAGCAAAGCCATGATTAAGTGCATGCAACGGGCTCTACGGGGCAGCCTGGAGGGACGGAGGCGGGTGGCCGCGGGCTCCGGCCCTCAGTCGTCCTTGTCCTTGGCCCCGTGCTTGAGGATGCGCGTGAACTCGATGTAGTTGAAGTTGCCCCTCTTGTCGATGGGCGCCTCTCGGTACAGCTCGTCCACCTCCTCGTCCGTGAAGCGGTCGCCCATGGTGGTGAGCAGCTCGCGCAGGTAATCCTCCTGGATGGTGCCTGCGGGACAGGGGGTCACCAAGTGGCCGGCGCCAACCAGGCCCAGGGAGGACTTGGACGCCCACCACCCACCGGCCAGGGAAGGGCGCGAACCGGCTGACCACAGATGATTGAGGTTAAAAATAAAGCCCTTCTGCCCCAGGGGTACACGGCAGGTTAGAACAGGACAGGAGCAGGTGGAGCCGGAGGGCGCGTGGGGTATAAGGCAGGTGTGCAGCCGCCCAGGGACAGGAGGAGCAAGGCTGAGAACAAGCAGGAGGAAACAGGAGCTAGGCTTTCTGTGTTTACACAAAAAGTCTCCACTGGTACCTCCACTACAATGAAGACGAAAAGAAAACTAAGATTTTCAATCATTCCAGGTAGCTAACTATAATTTTTATGCGACTGAATGTCTTAAAGACTACTTTACATTATCTAAAAATACAACCTAAAAGACCGTAATTTCCCTTTGGTTTTCAGGAAGTTGGAGTCAGCCTCAAAGACTAACAGAGCCAACTGCAGCCTCCCCACCCACACCTACGCCGGGCGTTCCCAGCTCCCCTGCCCTGCCCGCCTCCTGTCCCTGGAAGGCCGCCAGCCCGGCGCACGCACCTGTGGCCTCCTCGTCGAAGCAGGCGAAGGCGTTCCTGATCACGTCCTCGGGGTCCGTGCCGTTGAGCTTCTCGCCGAACATGGTGAGGAACATGGTGAAGTTGATGGGGCCCGGGGCCTCGTTCATCATGGCGTCCAGGTAGGCGTCGGTGGGGTTCTTCCCTGGGGGGCGAAGTGGACGGCTACGGTCAGGCTCCCAATTTACTTATAAAAGGGACAGCACGGCAGCAGAGGGCCGACTCCCAGGTGCTCAGGAAGAGGGCTCAGCGTGTGGCCAGCCCTGGGTCCCATCTCCACCGAGAAATACAAGGAACGTTTTCAGCAGGACAAATTTTAACAACTTCAAATCTCGATTTGTCGTTATGGAAACACAATCTGAGGGTCAGGGTGCTGGCCGAGCATGTGTGGGGCCCTGGCTTCCGTCCCAGCAGCAAAACAAAATGAAATCGGACGTGAACCTGCGGACAGGAAGACCCGGCACTGACGATATCCAAGGCCACTAGGGAGCCGTGCACGGGGTGGCTGACCTAAGCCCCACGCCGGCCACAAGTTCCGGAGGCCGCAGAGCTGGGCCCAGGACTCCAGCCCACGCCTCCCTTGCGAACCTGGTCCCTGTCACGTCACAAGACCAGGACAGACGCCCGGCCAGGGAGGCGCTCACCTGCGAATCCCACTCCCACGCGAAGGTCAGCTGCCAGCCGCCTCGGCGCACACCGCCCTCCACCCTCCTCCCTGCGCCTCGCCTACTCAGCCCAGTCACCAGGTGGGTGAAGAGTCAGGGAACGAAGCTCTGCTCTCCGGCCTGCATTTCTAACCCAACTCTCTTACCAAGCCACTCTGTGGGGAAGGGCGGGAACTAAGGCATCCGGAGAACCAAGGGACCAAGGGAGGGATCGAAACACAGACTGAGGCTCAGCACCCGCCTCTGCGATCAGGAGGTAAACAGGTGAAGTAAACAGGTAACTTCAAGGTCCCCAGGCAGAAAGGCCCTGCTGGCCCCTTACTCACGCAACACACGCTGAGCCTGAGCCTGGACTGTGAGGGAGGAACGGGCACCATCTCAGCCTGGGGACACAGCCGCGCCCTGCACTGTGCACTGGGCAGCAATCAATCCCCTGACCACCAACAAACTCCATCACACACCTGGAGTCTACCCTCACCGTGAATGAAGCACAGGCTCTAAATCCAATGCTGACAGCTTGCGAATGTGGGTAAAGGACCCGGGAGACCTGACTGAATAATACAGCGAATGGGGCTGTGATGTAGCACAGTGGCTCCGCTGCCTGCCTCACAAACACAAGGGCCTGAGTTCGATCCCGGTGCCCCAAAAACACAAAAAAGGAAAACAGTGACTATTACCAAAAAGGTTTAACTGTATTACAGTAACGCACACAGACCCTGCCGTGAGCCCTCCCTGACGTGCTCCCCCGCTGCGGCACACTGCTCCCAGCCTTCTCGCCCTTTCTGAAGCAGCCTGGACGCCCTTTCGTGAATGTCCTCAGTGGTGCTGTCACAGCTGTCCTGAATGGCTTCAAAACGTTTGCCTTTCCCGGTCACTGTGACTCTGGGAAGAGCCAGCAGTCACACGGCGCCAGGTCCGAGGAGAAGGTGCACACGGACGCGACACTGAGCCTGTACGGGCCCACCTTTCCCATGATGGCCCTCGGCAGCAGCATTTAAAACAGATTTGATCACAACTCAAAAAACACTCACGAAAGAGGACTCCAGAGCGGCTTCGGAAAGGAGCAAGAAGGGTGGGACAAGTGTGTCTGAAGTAGTGGGTGTGGGGGGTGTTGAGGGGAATTAACTGCAGTGTGTTTTTACACTAATGAATTTTTAAAAAGAAAATTGCAAACATGCACCATATATTTTGATCACCCCGTTATGGGTGTTTATTATGCTGTTCTTTTAACTTTTTGTAAACTTGAAACTTTTCAAAATAATGTTAAGAGAGAAAACATAAAAAGGCAGAGGAACAAGAGCCAGCTACCCGTCCTGCGACCCTCAGTGCGCCCTCCGGCCCCAGAGCCGTCTTCCCTGTCAGTCATATGCGGGACGGCTCGGTGAAGAGCCCTGAACCCGCCACCTAACCCGCTACACCCCAGCCCAGGTGCGGGCCTCATGGGCTCATTCGCTCGCTGCTCCTCCTCTACTCCCAGATGTAAAACACTGCTCTTCCTTTCCTCTTCCTTCTTTTAAAGATCAAAACAACCTGGGCACAGAGATGGACCCCTGGGATCCTAGCACTCTGGGAAGCTGAGGCAGGAGGAGCACTAGTTCTGCCTGGGCAACTTAGTGACCTCTGTCTCAAAATAAACTTCAGGCAGCTGGGGATGTAGCTTACTGCGAAAGCCCTGGTTCAACCCTTAGAACCACAGAAAATAATAAACAAATTTTATGAAGTCAAACAGCCAATCGTTCGAAGAATAATGAACACTTATACACCCCAGGTAACGAAAAGCAGCTCATGCGTGCGTCTGAGCTTCCACCTGCCCCACCCCTCTGGTGCGGGGATCAAATTTGGGCCTCACGCTTAACAACAGGCGAACGCTTTACCACGAAGCCACATCTCGGCCCTTTTTAATTCTTAGACAGGGTCTTGCACAGCTGCCCAGGGTGGCCTGGGACTCTCCACCTTCCTGTCTCAGCTTCCTGACAGCTGGGACTACAGGTGTGCCTCACTTCACCGAGGTATCTTCCTTAAGTGTAAAGTAAGGCGACAGTAACGTGAACGTCCCCTCCCTGTGCTCTCCCCCTGCACTGCTGCCCTTGCTCCTCAGACAGCCGTTACTGCTGAGTCCTGTCACCCCTGGTTCACAGCCTGTCTTTAACTGGGTCCCAGCCCTGCAGGCCCTGCACTCGGCGCCCACACCCAGGCCTCTCCGCAGGTCCTGTGCACCCGGCAAGGGTACCTGCATGCCGCAAGACAAGGTGATTCACGGAAAGCTGGGTGATGATCTCTGGGAAAGGGATGACAGAATAAAAGTTACCCAGCGAGGCCAGCATGTCGTGCAGGTCCTCCTTGTCGATGAAGCCGTCTCGGTTCTGGTCGATCATGTTGAAGGCCTCCTTGAACTCCTGGATCTGCGACTGGTCGAACATGGCGAAGACATTGGACGTCGCGCGCTGAGGGCGCTTCTTGGTGGTCTTGGTCTTGGCTTTTTTGCTCGACATGGTGGCGGTTTAATTCTGGAGTTTGAAAGAAAAAAAATCAAGAAAGCATGCCCAAGACACAAGGCAGAAAGAGAGTGCACGGCACCCTAGTTCGTTCGGAGGTGTTGCTTCAACCCGGCAGGAGGACGTGCACGGCTGCACTTCACTTCAGGGTGACCGTGAGGTGCTGGCAAAAAAGAGCAGAGTTCTGAAGAATTAAGAAATAAAACAGAAAATGACTTACTTTCCCCCACGTTTCATGGGACCAATTTTAATGAAGTTAAAATACGGAACAACAGCAGTGTTTACTGCTGTTTCATCTGAAGGCATGGGCTCCCCCCAGGGGCTCCAGGCTCCGCACCATCGGGGGCAGGGACTTCATTTCCGGTCAGGGCCCAAGCTGTGAGCCCCGGCCCGCACCTGAAGCGTGGAGCCCACTGCAACGCAAGGCGAGCCCCGCGCGAGGTCCTGCACGTGGAGACAGCGCGGCCCAACTTCACACAGACACTCCTGACGTCGCGGCGGCTCTGCCTTTTCTCACCCTCCGATCACTCCTGCGTGGTCCCCGGCACTGCGGGAAGCTACAGGACTTTAATTTGCAAACAGAACGGTGCTCTGCACTAACTTTATTTGCAGTTCCAGGCAACGTGGACACAGCGGAGCGCCACTCTGATCACGCGCAGGATGGCGGCGTCTGCAGTGCCACCTGAGTGTGCGGTGGCTCTGGGGTCTAGAGTTGTGGGATGAACTCTGAGATGCTTGCACAGCAACAAAACTTCATCACGGAAGACTTCTCAGAACACGGCCCGTGTCAATGACGCAGGGCAGTGAAGAGGACAAACAACTAAAAAACTCAGCTTCTGAGTTAGGAAACCTGAGATCGAATCCCAGAGCTCCACCACGACCAGCCACAAGCAACCTCTGACAACCAAACGTACCAGACTGACTGACTGACCTGGCGTCTTCTTCATCTTCATCTCACTAACTGCCCCACAAGAGACACGAGGTCTGGCCCTTGTCCCGGGCTCAGGAACATCTTGCCTGACACCTGCGGTCCCGGTCCAACAATGCTGAGCCCACACAGCATCAGCGTGGCTGAGTCCAGGGTGCGGGAGACGAGGCCCATCACGTGGCGGTGGCCGGATCACATGCCGATGCCCAGGAAAGCTGGACTCGAAGATCAGCCAAGTTTCTGTTGGCGACACGTGGCACCACCAGGAAGTGACCGCGTCCATGACGTCGGCGGGAGACACCTGCAGCTCTGCTTTGGGCCTCCCGGACTCTGCGTCACACAGCGCTTCCCTCCACTGATTTAACCCGAACCTTTTCCCTTCACCAACCACGTCAGGGAGCAGAGCAACTGTCCGTGAGTTCCTGAGTCCCAGCAAAATCATCGAAACCAAGGGTGGTTCGGGAAAGCAGCTAGCAGCCAGGTCAGCGGCCGGTCGCGGGCTCTGGACTTTATTCTGCGGGTTCCATGTGCTTCTCTAATCCACAGGGCACTTCCGGCCGCTGTGTGGTGGGCTGGCGGGGTCCTCATGAACACAGCAGCCCAGCGCTGACCCCCGCATTCCGGCTCCTGGCACTCCGCACATCTGTCCAGTGTTAGTCTTCTTTTCCTCCCTGTGACTTCGCTTGTTATTTGACCTTAGTTATACTGAATGTTAAGCCACAAACACTGTGGTCCACAGCAGAGACCTGACTTTGTTTTTAGGCGCGGGGACCAGACTCGGGCCTCACGTGTGCTAAGTGTGTGCACGACCTGTGGGCCACACCCCAGCCCCACCTGGCTGTTTTAATTCTTCTTCGTATCCCAAAGCTGTGAGAGAAGGTATTTTCCATGCTAAGTATTATACGATCCTACTTCTTCAAGATGTGATAAGAGGAAGTCTGAAGGAAAGAATCACTCGGTTGTGCATAATGAAGTTATTTAGAACAACTTCAGTTTTAAGAAGGGAAGGTGCGGATGGAAGAGAACTAAGAGCTACAAGGCCCGGATCAAAGTATGTTACACAGCAAACAGCCCAGTGTAACAGAGCTACAATTCCTTTTCTCTTCCTTTCGTTTTGTGGCACTGGGGACCGAGCCCAGCAACAGGGACATTCTATCACAGAGCTGTATCCTCAGCCCTATTTTGTTTTTCTTTAGAGACGAGTCTTAAGTTGCCCACGCTGGCCTCAAACTTGTGACCCTCGTGCCTCGGCCCCCCAGGAAGCTGGCATGACAGGTGTGTGCCACTATGCCCAGCTATAATTTCTTTTAAAAGGTTTTTAGACGCGGGGGTGTAGCTCAGCTCAGTGGTACGGCACTCACCTAGCACACACCAGGTCCGCGGTCCAAACCCCAGTACTACAAAGAAAAAACTTTTCTCATACTTTGTATATGTACATAGTAAATATGAAAACCATACACATATGCACACACACGCGCACACACACTCACGTGCACACACCCCAGCAAAAAAGCAAGGCAAAGACATATCAGCCCCATCAGCCTGGAGGGGCCCCAGAAGAAACGCCTACTTGCTTCCCCAACCTGCCCTTCTCTCCCCTGCTAACTCTTCCTGAGCCCCTCCACTGCACCGACACCACCATACCCGCCCACTGCTGGTCACTCCCGGCCTGGTGGCTGGGGACACCGGAAATGAACTATCTCAAAGACTGCTCTCTTGGGGGAGGCTCTGGACACTGCGCTGGGCACCGGTCTGCTGTCCGACTGGGCTCCACTCTCCTAATTCTACGATGAGCCTGCTTGGTCCCTAGACTTTACCTCCACCCAAACCTTCTCAAGGTCCCAGCTTTCCCCAGACTCCCACATCCACAGCCCCACGCCCGGCCTTGACCTGCAGCCCTGACTGGACACCGGCTGCACAGAAAAGCGCCCTCCCCATGCCACATTGACCCCAGACACCGGGAGCGCACGCATTTCGGCCCTCCTAAGGCTCCCAACTTCCTGTCTTCTCATCTGCCCACTGCAGAAGCCCAGCCCTGCCGCACACACGCCCCTCTTGAGTTAAGCCTGCGTCAGAAATACTTCTCAGATGCACTCACTTCCTCAGCTCTGCGCTGGCTGAAACCGGAAAGACTTCTCTGCCTCCTGGTCCCCTCCAGCTCCCCTTCCTATTCCAGCCGAGGGAGGATAACATCATCCCTCCACTTCTGAAGACCTCTGCCTCTGCCCCTCCCGAAGGACAAAGAACGCACTCGGGCTGCCCGAGGTACTCTGCACCTGGTCTACTCCACCCCACCCTCCACAGCCTCAGCTCCTCCAGTCCTGACTTTGAGCCCAATAGGACGAGTACCTGAAAGGTTCACACTGCTACCCACACCCTCAGAATCCTGCTGGCTTCAACACTCATCCCATGGCTCTTGCCGCTTTCTGAAGCAGCTCTGGAGTCCTCTTTCCCAAGTGTCTCTCTGAGGGGTGATCAAAAACACAGTGAATGCTGCTGTTACGCACCATCCAACACAAAGGCAGGCTGAGATGCCTCCTCTTTCACCTTATCCACCGGATCTGGCACCGTGTAACTAACTCCTGGCTCTTTCCCAAAGCCACACTGAACATGAAAGGAAAATGTTTTGAATCAATTCAGGACACACAAAAGCCAGGACAGCACAACTAAAGACACGCAGGAAAACCCGGGCATGGTGGCGCATGCCTGTAATCCCAGCACTCAGGAGGCTGAGGCAGGAGGATCGCTGTGAGTTCGAGACCAGCCTGGGCTACATAGTGAGTTCCAGTCAGTCCCAACTACATAGTGAGACCCTGTCTCAAAAACCAAAACAAAAAACCAACCCCCCCCCCAAAAAAACAAAACATGCAGGAAAGAACTCCAGAGCCACTGCAGAAAGTGGCCAGAGCGATGAGATGTGTGTTCAGAGTGAGGGGATTAATGACAATGTCTTTCACCATAAAAACAAACAAACCTAAACGTTCACTGTACTTTTCCACTACGCTGTGTGTTCCTCCTTTGAAATCAGACTGCTGGTGTGTCCCCAGGGCTCCCAGGGGTTTCTTACCCGTGTACCACTGTTTTTGCTATTTTTCCAGTTCAAAATGCACCGGCTCAGCTGTCTGCTTAGGAGTAAACAGGAATTCAAGGTCTACTCAACATACAGCTGCTTCCCTTTATCAAAGGACTTGTGCCGGGCATGTACATGTGCATTAAATAAAACACACCTGCCTGCCTTACAATGAAGAGCCTGATGATCAAAGACACTTAAATGTCTGCTCATTGGTGATACTCACCTCCACTTGTGTATTTTCTACTTCATACCGTTGTTCCAGTTACTGTGGCAATTTTTTAAAAATTTAACACTATCAATATAATCCAATAAGAGCTCTGAGCAGGTGCTCTTCTCTAAGTTCCTATCCTATACTGAGTTCTCAGAGCAACTCAAGCTGTACTGCAGAAATGAACTGTGCAGACTGGGGTGCACATGGCACCGCCTGGAATCGTGCACTGTAACAGCCGTGCAGGACCTAATCCAACGCCTCGATTTTCCATCAGCCCGGCCTCTACTTCAAAACTTCTACCTAGGACTGACAAATTACTAATGTTTAACTTGTAAGTGTTAAAAAATACCAACCCTATCCCTGAACTACAGGCAGGGAAGAAACTATCCGCACAGAGCCCAGTACGTAATGTAACGGATCACCTTCAACAGCTGCACAACACGTTTTCCGTCCCCCTCAGCACATCTACGGGGTAATCTGAAGGCACTGGAAGAAACCTGCAGCACTGATGTGCAACCCACACCCGGACGCCATCGTCACAAGCAGAGACTGTCCCTGAGACTGTCCTTCTCTCGGAAGCCTGGGAGACAGACGCTCCTGGAAATATCCTGTCTGCTATGACTTCAATGTTCCTTTGAAAGCTTTTCCTAAAATGTTAGCATCTTAGCTTAGCAAGCTGTTGCCCCCAGTGGCTTTCCCAGCAGCCAGGTGCACATCGGTGCTTCCTTGGGGTCGCAGTCTGGCCGAACCGGAAGAGAAAATGGGGAACCACACCAGTTAATTCCGATGCACAGCGAGGGGTCCCGCTGAGCTCACGCCAGCTGCTCACGCTTCTAGTGCCCCTTAGTTTTCAGGGCCGGTCACCGTGGGGCTTAATGGAGGTGCTGGATTCCAATTCAAGGTGTCCCTCGGTTACGTGTTCTTTGGTCACTGAAGTTAACCCTGGGCCACTGTCCTCATTCGTGTAAGAGGACCCTAGGAGGACCATAAGTTTGCAGCCAGCAAACTCCATGCAGTCTGCATGGGGTATTCGTTCAGTTCCCCAGGGATGACCTTTAAAAATTGAGTTCGTTTAACTGAGTCTTTAAAAAAAAGATATTTTACACAAAACCCTGAATTTCATCTTAAGTGCTGAAGGCACCACTTGACCGACACCCCCAAATTCCAGCTGACAGAGTATTCTGAGTAACCCCCGGACTCCCCCTGTCAACTGTTAGATCTGTGTGACCGAACTTGCTCCTCTGACCAGGCTGGGGGCCAGGCTCCGTGATGGCCCTCAGCAACCTCCTACCCGAGAGCGAGGGGTTATGGGAAGTGACGGCGGGCGCTCTGTCCTGAGACACCGCCGCTTCTGCCCCACTCTCCCTTCGGTAGTTCAGTCCTCTGTGCAGGAGGCCGCGAGGCAGGGCTCACTGAGGCCTCCTGCCAACAGCTCGCCCGAACTGCCAGCCGTGGGGGTGGACGGCCACTCCGGAGAGCCCTGAACTTGGGCCCTCGAACTCTGTGCACTCATTTTTTGTTTTTTTAATATGGAAAGCTTCACGGATTTGCGTGTCATCCTTGGGCAGGGGCCGTGCTAATCTCCACGTCGTTCCAATTTTAGTGTATGTGCTACTGAAGAAAACACTGTGCACTCATTTGCGGGGGGGAGGTACCAGGGATCAAACTCAGGCCTTTGTGCTTTCGAGGTAGGCAGGGGAACCACTGAGCCAAATCCCTGGCCCTAAGCGCACATTTTTAAGGCCCTAAGTTTGGGAACAATTTGTCAAACACCAACAGCGAAGTCACAACGTTGCTGCTTCCCTGACCTCTTTCATGTTAAACTGGGTGATTCCCTCCTTTCAGAAGTACAGCCATGCTCAAGTCCGCACTGGGCAGGGAGCTTCCCACTTCTGGCTAGAAAACATGAACTCCTATCCCGTCCATCCAAGTCCTGGAGGCCCCTCTTCTAACTGCCACGGCATCGCCACCACATTCAGGCTGACAGTGCCCGGCCCATTTGCTGCTGCTTCTTGCTTCCTAAATGAAGCTCCGCCTTGGATGTGTTTTTCTCAAGTACTGATGAAAAACTGGTAGCGTACAGGTACCACTCACAAAGGAGGTAAGTGGGCTGGGAGCTGGTTCTGAGGACACAGGGGTAACCAGGCTTTAGCCAAGCTACGGCGGGCCGGGGTGAGAGGCCCGGAGCACAGAATCCTCCTAAGCAGGCACATAGGCGAGGCCTTTGAGGAGGAAGAACTCACACACAGAAAGCAGGAAGATCAAGAGGGAAGACTAAAGCCTTAAGGTCATTTTCTCTTCACTCTCACCTTCACCAAGGTCTACCCACATCTGTAGAAATCTCCAAGGGTTCCCATGGCCAGTTCTGTAGTCAAAACTAATTAACAGTTGGTCTAATTAAGAGGATCAAATGACTAGATACACAAGCAGCAGTCTAAAGACAGCAATCATAGAGAGAGTTTAGTATATAATCAAGCTAAAATACTCCACAAGATTAACCTCATATACTTAATTACATATAATTGTTTTTATGCTGCATACTTAGGCAAAAAGCAGTAGTCAGTTCTATAAATATTATAACTCTTTCTTTTAAACTCAGTATTTACAACTTTTTAGGTGAGCTTTCCCCCTACCGTATGTATTTTAACATTTACCAAATACATTCCGGTACTCTCATTTCTTTCTTATTACAGGTTTTATGATTATCACAGTCTGGAGTAAATTATCCACCCCCCTTTGCTTTACTGCAGTGAAACAGAAAGCTGTGAAATGTACAAATCGTAATGACACAGTTTTATAGTGTACATCTATGTGACCCAATTACTGTAAGTTACAAATGTTAACATCACTCCTGAAAGTTACTTTTTTTTTTTTTTTTTTTT